TAAAATTTATGAAAAGGCATGATAAATCCTGTGAGTTCGGTGTGGATAGGTGAAAAGGAGTGAGTAATAATAAGAGGGAGGAAAAATGTGTGTGATCAAATGTGAATTATGCAGGAGATACTCAGGAGGCATTAATGTAATTACAAAATTGTGATTTGATTGTGATTTGGAGGTTAAAGTTGTAGAATTGAATCTTGTAAAAAATAAAGTTAAAAAAATTCAACCGGCAGTTTAGTGTTGTTGTTTTAAAAAAAAAAAAAACTTTTGCAAAACTTGAGTTTCCCAAAATCCAAAATATTCCAAAAACCAAAACTTTTTTCATGGATGGGTGAAAGAGTGACACCTTTGTTTTCTCACGGTTCAGTGTACACAAACTTTGTCTCATGAACAAAATTGTTTAACATATTGCATAAAATTCCCTTTAGGTTATGTGTATCAGGAGTATAGGAAACATAAATGAATGTTGTGTTGAGACCTGGGTCCCATCTCCAAGATATCTCATTAGGTACATATGTGCAAATACAGGTATTTTAAAATCTAAAAATATCTGAAATAAAAAACACTTCTGGTCCCAAGCATTTCAGATATGGGACTTTCAGCCCTTAGTCCATATTGTTTTAGCAGATCTATCTTAAACTTATATTATAAGGCACTTTGAGTCCCTTTTAGGGAGACTGGGGTTCGAATCCCCACTCAGCCATGGAAGCCCACTGGGTGACCTTAGGCAAGGCACACTCTCTTAGCCTCAGAGGAATGCAAAAGCAAACCTCCTTTGAACAAATCTTGCCAAGAAAACCCATGATAGGTTCTCCTTAGGATCGCCATAAGTCTGAAACAACTTGAAGGCACACAAGAACAACAACAAGAAGAAGAACAGCAAATCCCTCATGGTCTTTTCTCCATCCCTGGCAGTACAATTTATTTATTTACTGTACTTCTGGATCACCAAATGTATCTGTATGTGTATCTAAAATGCAAACATAAGACCAAAATCAAACAATAAAGCAATGACAAGGGCCAAGGCATAAAAAAAGCCCCAAGATAAAAATCAGCAGCAAAGATGAAAAACACTGTTGTATGTAAAACAAAAGTCAAAGCCAAGCCATGCTAGTTGCAAAAGAGAACAGTGCTCAAATGATGAATCTTAAAATGGCTTGGAGAGTAAAAGAATCTCAGGCTGCAGAATTAATGCAATTTGGCACCACTTTAACTG